GGCGAAATCCCGCGCGTCTTGGGGCGGGGCCCCTACGCGCTCTCGGGGCTGGCGGCCGTGCGCGTGCTTAATGTCGACGCGGGCGTCGCGCAGTATCGACAGCAAGTGGTTCGTCTGAAGTCGTCTCTCCCCCCCTCGACGTCGGTCGCGAACGCCCTGCCCCGGGACTCTATTCCTGTGCTCAGTCATGAAGGTCGCTTTCGCGTGCAGCGCGGCACGTTTTCTCCCGGGGGCAGCGCGCGCCAGGGAATTGAGCTCACTCTTCGGGGATTGGACCGAGTTGCGTCTGCCGCGGCATGCTTGGCGGGCTTGCCAGGGGCGTCTCGTGGTCGGCTCGGCTCGGCTGGATAGAGTTTATGTCAGTTGGCACCCGTCAGTCTGGAATGGCAATGTCGAAGTTAGACCTGCGATTGGCGCGCCCACTAATTTCAGGAACCCGTCGGGTCACGGCCCAGTCGCTGCTGCGATCTCGCCTGAAAGTCGCCCTGATTTCGCTCCCCAGCCCATTCCCGCCCGGGCCCCATGTGCCGCGGGCTGCTCACTGCAAGAGGAATGCCATCGCCGCCCCACGGTTCGGCCGGGGCGCGCCGAGGCGGCTGTGCGCGACACTCGCGCAGAGCTTCGGAAGGTTGTGCGCTGTCGAGGGGCCGCGTCTTCTCGCGAGTATCTGCTATGGCGTGTCTCGACTTTGAGAGCGTTCCGCGCCGGTCCATCCTCGCGTTTTCACGTGATGCGCGCTTGCCTATCCTGCTCTCTCCGCCTTTTTTGACGTTGATGCTGGCGCCTTCCCCGTTGCTGCTGGCGCATTTCCCCGCGCTGCTTTCGACGGCAAGTCTTCTATTGGATGAGGAGGGAGAGATTGCGGATAACACGGCTGACTCTCCCGATCATGAAGCGCAGAGACGTCGCGCGCGCGAGCAACGCCATCGCGGGGGATGGCACGCGCTGAACAAGACGCCTCGGGTTGGCAGCAGTCTGCATGGGAGCGCAGGTGCGCCGATCACGCCGCGACGGCGTTCTGGACAGGAGCTTGCTCGACATTGGGTTCTGCGTTCGCCGAGGTTGAGCCCGATCGCGCGCTATGGTCCACCAAAGCTTTTGATTTGTTATTCTATTATCCAGAACATTGTTTGTTTTGATCTGGTGCGGGTCCTGGGCCGCGGGGGGTTTGCTCGGTTGGTCCAGTCGGCGGGCGACTCGATGCCGGGCGTCGATGAATTGCCGTGCGCTTGCTGGGAGATCCAGGAGGCTCAGGAGGCCTTGCATTTGCATTATAGGCACTGCCTAGCTCGCCCCGAAAACTCGCCCCCCCGACTTTCGTGAGGTGCTCATGGTATCTGGCTAGAAGGGGATCGCCCCACTGATGCATCTGCTGCGCCATCTGGGAAGCCACCCTGCGTTCGCCCACTCTCTATGGTTTGCGTTGATTGTAGAGTGGTGACTGATGCTATTGCTTGTCCTCTCGCTCTGACTGGTCAACGCTCTGCCTTGGACAGTCAGACTGGTGGTGTCTCGGGGCGATCGAATTCAGATCGCATCATCGAATGCGAAGGTGATGGAGTTATGGTAGCGATCGGAGGGCGCGGCGCGTCAGCTCACTTCTTCGCAGATCGCCTGGCCTCTTCGTCCTGAGCAAGATGGGCGCGCCTGGTTGGGTTGCTGAGTTTCCTTTATATTGCAGCGATGATAACGTCGCGATGGCCCCTTTGCGCGGGGTCGGCGTTGGCCCCGCCATCAGTTGGGCGGGGCGTTCGCCAGGGGCGCCCTGCGATGACGTTGCTGTTTGCGCTGTCCGCGGCCCCAGTCTGCAGGTGGTTATGCGCCTGTAGTCCCAGGAGGTTCAGGCTCTCGGGGTACGCCGGCGACCTCCTGTTCTGCTAGCTGGGAGGCTTTGTTCTTCCTGGAAAGGCGGTGCCCTAGAAGACTTCGGTCTCTATTTTTGTTGTGGTTGCTGCACTCCGAACCCCCTGTCGGGGGCTCTCGGCCCCCGCCAGGTTCCACGCTCGCCCGACGCCCTGTCCCTTCAGCTGCCTGGAAGCCGAGGGCGACCAGTCCACTTATCTACACTGCCTTAAAGTTTCTGCTCGCTTCTCCTTCTGGGCCACCCTTCTGTTCCCGCTCGGACTCGTTCACCCGTTCCCGACTTGTTGTTGCATTGGCGGTCGGGCTCCCGATGAAGTCAGAGATCTTGCTGTGTGCGCTCTGCTGGAGTATTTCGCGCGCGCCGCTCACCACTGGGTTTCGCTGCCGCGGCTCTGAGGGCCGCCTTCAGTTGCCCGTGCAGCGTCGCCCTGAGATCAGATTGGCCGTGCAAGCGGTCAGGATTTCATAGCTCCCGAAGAGTTCGTCTGCCCGTGCAGTGGTCGGGACTTGTACTCAGCGTGCCTCTCGTCTCTCCGCCTGACTTGCTACCGCCCCCCCCGCCGCGCCGCTGCCGCCGCCGCCTGCTTTGTCTGCTGCCGCTGCTGCTGCCGCCTCTCGTCTCCGCCCGCTCTCTGTGCGCGGCGGCGTCCAGGTCCGCCCTGCCGCCCTGGCCTCGCACGCCTCTCTCGCGCCTGTCTGCTCTTTGTGTTTCGCTCGGCGAATCCGCCAGTCATTGCGACGGTCCTCGTCTCTGCGAAGCGCGCTTGATGCGACTTGGGTGTGTTTGCTCTGTCCGATTGCCTGCCCGCTCTCCCGCGGCAGGTCGGGCCACGTACAAGCCGTGTCTCCGCCCGTGATATTGTGTCTGACCGCCCGACTCTCGGGCTGCATGCTTAGCTGCATGGTGTCGGCTTCGATCGATCGATCGCCTCCGTGCTTCCCCGACTTTTGCCTGCTTGGTTTTCAGCCGTGGAGCTTCTCCAGTGTGTTAGTCGGCCTGTCTTTCGCGCCTGGGCGCGTCTGCTGACATGCAGTTCTGCTGTTCCGTCATCCAGGCGTTGCGCGGGAGAATTAGCACCATCATCAGCATCATCATTGGCATCAACGTCATACTCACATCATAGCCATGGCCTTGACGTCATCATCACCAGCATCGTCGTCACGATCGATGGCGCGTCCCTCGCACGCTTCGTGGCCCCATCGGGAGCGCAACCGAACGCCCTGGTGGAGCAGCCCGCGTGCGTCCCAGCAGCCCATTTCGGCACACCCCTCACACGCTTCGTGGCCCCATATGGGGGCTCCGCCGAAGGCCCCAGTGGCGCAGCTCGCATGCGTCCCATCCATCCATTCGGGCACACCCCTCATGCGTCAAGTGGCCCCATAGGGAGCTCCAACGAAAGGCCCAGTGGCGCAGCCCGCATTCGTCCCAGCCGCCCGCACCCCTTCACACGCTTCGTGGCCCCATAGGGAGCTCCGCCGAAGGCCCCAATGGCGCCGCCCGCGTGATTCCCAGCAGCCCATTTCGGCACATCCCTCAAACGCTTCGTGGTCCCATAGGGAGCTCCGCCGAAGGTCCCAGTGGCGCAGCCCGAATGCGTCCCCACCATTTATTTCGGCACACACCTCCCGCACGTTTCGTGGCGAAACAGGGACCACGGCCCCGTTGGCAGCGCCCGCATGGCGGCCCCGCCCCATTTCGTCACGCCCATCATGCGTTTCGTGGCCCCAGAAGGACATCCACCGACGCCACCGACGGCGAAACTCATACCGCCGGTATTCACAACTGAATATGGTTGGGTCCTTCGCCAAGCTTTTTTTTGCATACGCGTGGTGTTCACAGGCTTCACAGGCAATCGTACGACATGCAGGGTCCATCATACCGTTGCGCTGACATGCGCGTGGCGGTCGCACGCCATCATGGTGCTGGCAGTGTCCTGCTTCCCTCGCGGTTTGGTGGTCGAAAGCACATTTGTGCTCTCGGGCACGTTGTGGCAGTCGCGCGCTCTTGTGGTGGAGTGCTCGCAGGCAAAGCGCGGGGCTCGCAGTTGATTGCGGCACTGGTCGGGTCTGGCATGCTGTGGTGCATCCCGTGGTGCCCGCACGCTGCTGTGGTACTGAGCGTCCGGGTTTCCTCCCGCTGGTGGTTGATGACGTCGACGAGGCGAATCTGTGGTTGCGGCGCGCGGAGGCGTCCGTTTCCAGTGCGCGCGGGCCCGCGCGCAGGCTAGTTGCACAGATGCATATGTGGAGTTGCCCAGGGAACAAAATATTATCGGCTGGTGGCCCTCCCCCCAAGCAAACTGGGTCACCGCCGACCATGAAACACAATATCTTGATTCGGCGACGTCCAGCGCCGATTCAAAGCTTTTGCCCGGTCATCCGAAGGCTCACGTTTGTGGTCATGTGTTTCTTTTCTACTCCCAAGGCGATCAGACACGAGGATGTAATGGGGATAGGAGAGGAGAGGGATGACGAGGAGGAGGGGGAGGAGGTTGGAGGGATGGGGAGGAAAGAAAACAATAAGGTTGAGAAGGGGGAGAAGAAAGAAGCGTCGGGGACGGGTGGTAATGATTATTGTGATGATGATGATAATGATGATGGTGGTCATGATGATGATGATGATGAGGAGGAGGAGCAGGATGCTGATGTCGTTATTGATGATAATGATTATGATGATGATGTTGGCGACGTCGATGATGATGACGATGCTGCTGCTGATGATGATGCAGATGTCGATGATGCTAAGGATGATGTTGATGATGATGATGGTGATTGTTATGATGCTGATGATGGTGACGATGCTGATGATGACGATGATGATGGTGATGGCGATGATGTTGACGATTCTGATGACGATGCTGATGATGATGGTGATGAGTATAATGATAATGACGACAATGCTGGTGATGATGATGCTGATGATGATGATGATGATGACGATGACTATATTTGTGAAGGGGGTAGTGGTGGTATGCGTATGGCGATGGTGGTCATGCCGAGACAACATACTGTGACATGACTGTGGAGCAGATGAGATGGGGACCTTGGCCAGACAACATTTACCCAATACGCAATCATACCGATCGAGTATAAGAGTGGCGATGAGCGGGGGAGCGCGCATGCGGGCCAGTGGGAAGGACGACGACTACATGAAGGTGTTGCACCCGTCAGACGAAGTGAAGGACATCCTTCTTTTCGGAGGGACGCCCTGACCGCGATAGCAACGTAGCCTCTGTTATTCCGGTTGGCGACGAGTGCCCATGTATTGCTTACCCCGTGTGCAGCGCCTTCAAGATTGGACCCAACAGCTCAGGATGCAAACAAGTTACTGTGCGTACCGCATCGACACCCTTGCATATCCTGCCTTTGTGTCGACGTGGGAGGGTCGTAGATAGGGACGGAAGGCCCATTATCCGATATCTGTCTCTGGCACGTTGCCCCCCTCCCCTCCCCCTCAATTGTCCCCCCCAACAGGTTGACGATTTGATTGCCGGTTGGTCGTCGGCCTTTTCTTGCTCGTGCGGAGACCTCGGGGCCGCCTGGAGGGGGTCGTTGAATTGTGTGGGAAGGTTGGAGAGGGGCAGGCTAGTCTTGTCCAGTATGTCTACCCAGTAGTTTTCACGGTTAAGTCTGCCTGCTCACCGCTACCTCTATGCAGCGCCATGTGCCGATCCTATCACGGATGAGTGCGTTGTTGCATTATCCAGTGTGGTCGCGTCTGCCCATTCGAGAAACGTTGTAACGGACAGCATTTCGGTGGACCTTTTACTCTAGTCCAATATTGCGCAACAGAAATCAGCGTGTTCGTGTGTCAGCTCCCAAGTTCGAACCCTCGGTAATTCCCCACTCAGTGCTTGCACTGAAGGGGTCCTCGCGAAAGTTGAAGGATTTGGCGACAGTGTCCCGCCGATTTTGGGCGCACGCTGGGTTCCTGGTTCCGGGTTCCCGGGTTCCCAGTTCCGGGTTCCGGACCGATTTCGGAGGGCGGCGAGGTTCCCGGGTTCCTGGGTTCCTGGTCGATCTTCTCATCGATCGGTCTCACCATCGATCTCATTACCCGCTTCTCTGTCGATCTCACAATCGATCTCACTATCGATCTCACAAGCGATCTCACTAGAGATCGCATGAGCGATCTCGCGATCGATCTCACTATTGCTCTCATTGAATCGATTTCACTATCGGTCTCACGATCGACCTTACAATCGTCCTCACTATCGATTCCACTACCGAATTCATTATCGATCTCACAATCGATCTCAAGATCCATCGTATTAATTTTCAAATTGTCCACTGATTTGGGTTTTCTCAGTTGTAATATAGTTTTTGTCGCTCATTCTGGCCCTTGCGTGATTCGATCTCGCCGGATATTTCAGGCATCTGCGCACCGCAAAAACAAGGGCCACACATGCTCCAATGTGCAGTGGTTTGGTACAGCCACGGTCTCGCCACTTCCTGCTTAACCTCCTCTTTCCGCTTCTTCCTACGCAAGTACTCCCTGGCCCTCCCGCCTCTCTTGCCCCCGCGCTCCTGTGTATCCCTTATTCCGTTTCTCCCTGTCGTCCTCCCAGCGGTTCTTCCCTTTCCCTTCCCTCCTCCCTCTCTTCCTCCTCCCTTCCTCTAGTTTCTCTCTTCCCTTTCTTTGTTTTCTCCTCTCTCTCTCTCTCTCTCTTTGTCTTTCTTTTTTTGATGTGTGCACGCTTCTATTCTAGTTGTTTGTTGAACATGTGTGTATGTGTATATGTATGTTTGAATGTTTGATATATATATATATACATGTATGTATATATATATGGAGATCTCCCTGGGCACGGGGTTCCGTGAACCGACTCAGGGACCTCTACCTCCATGTTGGGACTGGTCTTTCCGGCGGTACGGGCAGGGCTCCCGAAGCGGAATCCAAAGATCCAAAGCGTCTTTGGTCTTCCAAGATGGGCCAAGGACGTTCCGAATCCTTCCCAAAGCGCCCCCAAACATTCAAATTCAAAGTTGGAGGTGGTGGTGTTCTTCTTCCTCGCGGCATGTGCACTCAGGCCTCAAGGGGATTCACCGCCCCCCCGAGCGTATGCAGGTAGCTGCCCGTTGATGTTAACAAAACAACAATGGAGAGAGGCTCCAAACAGCCCGAGGGGCCGCCAAGATTGGTCCCAGAGACCCTCAAAAGAGTTCCAACAAGCAGACTGTGGATCCGTTACAGAGTTTTGCTCGGGTTCCGTCTCCTAGAATTTTGTTCGTGCTTCCGATATCCCAAGACGGCCCTATTTACAAGGAGCCTCCCCGATCACGCCAAGAGAGCGTTTTTTCCCTCTCACGGCGTGGTCTGAAGGGCACGCATTGGTGCTCACAAACGTGTTCTGGCGCTCGCAGTCGTCGTCGTCGTCGTCGTCGTCGTCGTCTTCGTCGTCGTCGTCCAAAGCATCTGGCGATTAGTCAGCTACCGCAGGTGGTTTGACCACTCTTCCGCAAGTGCAAAATGCGGTGGATCTCTCTCTTCCGTCTGGCCGGTGCGCAACGCGATACAGTCAACGCGCTTAATAAGGACGCGCGCCTTCTCCAGGGTACCCTTGTGTCCTTGCCTCTGCGGCCTTTCCATGCCGCTTTCATTAGCCAGCTTTTGCCAAACATCCCAAATACGGCTTCCAAGGGTCTTGCGTCCTCACCACCCGTCCTTAATGCACGTTTCAAGCGTAGACCCAGCGCCATGGAGAAGATGAAAACTTGGCGGCCCCGCGCCTTCTCCCGAGGGCGCTGTGGTGAGCGCGGGCGCTGTGGTTCACGCATGCAGCGTAGTGCACACCGGCGCTGCGTTGCACACAGCTACTGCGGTGTACGCACGCGCTGTGGTGTACTCAAGCGTTGTGGTGCACGCAGGCATTGTGGTGTACACCGACGCTGTGTTGCACGCGGCTGCTGTGGTATACGCAGGCGTTGCGGTGTACGCAGGCGTTGTGGCGCACGCGTGTAGAAGTCTCAGGCGCTCAGGGATTATTTCAGAACGTCTACACACATATATATATATACATATAAATCTATACATATACATATATATATATATATATGTGTGTGTATGTGTGTATATATATATATATATATGAAGTTAGCTCTTTTTGTGGGGAATCCAGAGGCGCCCAATTTTGAGGGGGTCTTGTATCAAACAAAGAATTTTCTGTGAAGTCCAGAGGCGCTCTGCTTTCCATAGCGATTCTTTTGCAAATGTTATAAACAGGTGGCATGTGGAATCCAGAGGCGCTCCATTTTCCATTGGCCTTGTTCTTTTAGTAATCCTATTATAAACAGTGGTTGTCTGTAGAATCCTATTATGCACAGCGGTTGCTGCAGTATACGCAGGCACTGCGGCGTGCATGGGCGACGTGGTGCTGCAATGCACGCGGCTGTTGTTGAATACCGAGGCATTGTGTTGTGTACACAGGTGGCGCTGTGTTGCACCTAGGCATTGGGCATTGTCGTGTGATCAGGCGATTGATGCGCTGGTGGCGCGGACGCACCCTGGCGGCCGCGGCCGCCGTTACCATTACCTTCCCGCCCTCCCCCCCTCCCCCCCTCCCTGCAAAACGGCTGTCACACGGGAAAGCAAAAAGGTCTCCAAGATGGCCCAACAGAGCCCCAAGAGGACCATAGGACGCCTTCAGAGGACCCCAAGAGGGCGTTCAAGAGGGCCCCAAGTCGCCCCCAACACAGCCCATAACGGCGTCAAGACGGCCCAAGAAGCCAACATATTGCTACAGAAACCTTCGAGACTCGAGAGGCCCCAGGGGTGTGGCCGAGAGGGCTCCCAATTGGCCTACAAGAGGCCCCGATGATGCCCTCTAGGAGGGCGCTGAGACGGCCTAGCAACGAACACAGCAATGAGGCCAAGGCTCCCGTGCCCAGACGGGTCAGTGACGGACACAGCTTTCACGCCGCGGCTGATGAGAGCTACAGGGGAGGAACACTTTTTTTTGTGTAGGCGAGTCGGTGAAGTCAAAAGCATTTGACGCCATGTCTATGGATCTCATCTTGATGCAACATAGAAGTATGGACAGGTCAGCAACTCTTGGATCCGAGCTGCGGTCAGCGAGCCGGCTGTGCCCATCTGGCCTGAGACATCTTGGCAAGCATGTTCTCCGCCAGACCCTTTCCCGAGGTGCGTATACATATATATATATATATAATACATATAAGCAGGCCCCAGATTGGTAGGTCGACCCTGCCAATTCAAGGGTACCCTTGTGTCCTGTGTCTCGCGACCCATGCTTCCTACATTCCAGTGGCAATGTGGCCCTCGGAAGGGTCTTGTGTCCCCTCGCGTGTCCTGTCAAATCGAGTCCGACTGTATACACAAACAGATGCACTTGCTTATGTCCGGTACTGTGGACGTGAGCGTATATGTGCTTGCATTAGTGTATGCCTATGTTTTTGCACACTTATTCGATCATACTACAGGTGTATCGGCCCTCGGCACCATCCGCCGCAGTGCCTGGGTTGTGGGTAAGATGTCTTTGGAAGGTGCCACTTTGATCACATCGATGGGTGCCTCTCGGGGTCTCTTGGGCATCTCAGCGGCCTCTTGGAAGGCTCTTGGCCCTCTTGGAGGTCTCTCTGTGGAAGGGGCCTCCTGGGGCCTCGTACCGGCCTCTTCAGGATTCTTGGAGGCCTCTTTGCTCTGGGCTCCAGGATGGATCCCAAATAGATGTTAACCTGGGTTTAAAATGTTCCGGGATTATTGACCAGGGTTCATAATGTCTCCCCCGGAACATTATGAACCTGGGTTTTAATGTTCCGGAAATATTGACTGGGGTTCATCATGTTCCCCCCCGAACGTTATGAACCCTGGTTTATAATGTTCTGGGCCTACCGATCCCAAAAATATGTGAACCTGGGTTTATAATGTTCTGGGAATAATGACAAGGTTCATAATGTCCCGGGAATAATGAACCCGGTTTTTGTAATTCCGGAATGATAATAATTTGTTTTTTTTTTTTCCCCTCCAGCGCCCGGGTGCCGCACCAGGTTTTCCATGTTGGGAAATTGACCCAGTTTCATTATCTGCAGGAGATAGTAATAGACCTGGGTTCATAATGTTTCCGGAATATTGACCCCGGGTTAATTCTTCTGGAATGATAATGATTCAGCGGGGGGGGTGTTGGACAGTAGTGACCGGATTGAAATAAACCGTGGTCCATAA